CTTTGTTCAACTCTTTTATTCTCAGTCCCAACAACTCTATCTCTCTCTCTCTCTTTACACTCTCTCTCTCTCACTCTATATATGTCAATCTTTCTATCTTTTCATCTCCCCTGAACTCTCTCCCTCTCTCTCCCTCTCTCTCTCTCCCCCATCACCAGCCTAAATGTCACCCCTCAGTGTTTTTGGAAGAGCTACAGAGAGAAAGTCTGTTGCTTCTGTTTTAGTGCCCACACACACACATTTACACACATATGGTCACAGGAATTATGGTTGCAGGCCACACACACACACACTCCACTCGTTGAACTGCACGGCTGCTGCTACTGTAGGTTCTTACATCCTGGTTTTTATTAGAGCCTTCCTTCTTGGTGCTGCCCCTTCCCCACGTCTGGTGCTTGTAAAAGGGGGGTTTTATATGTAAACACATGGTATATAACAGTCACACCTCAGTATGTGGTCAACATGCTGATTTAAAAAAAAACAATGCTCTAACACGTTGTGGATTTTTCTTCCAGTCTTTTTCCCCCTGCTTTGTCTCTGTGACCTCCTGGTTTGACGGGCGTGTTGCCAGATTGGACTCGGACGTGTTGCCAGATTGGACTGTCACCACATGACCTGAACTCTGTCTCGGCCTCAGTCTGAATGTCTGCTCCTCCCTCTGTAAATTCTTAGGGAGTTGTGCTTGAGTTCCGTTAGAAATGAAATCCAAACGGCTGCGAGCGCCGACCCAGGAAGGTTTATTTAACTTTCCAAACTGGCAGCGCCTCACGGTGGTATTAAAGAATGGGGGAAAATCAGGGGTAAAATAAGCTCTGGTCCACATCCGTATTACCCCTGTTAGAGCCCACATGACTTGTTTGATATACAATAAATCCTGAGGCAGTAAAACACGGGCTCATGAACAACCCACACTTTAATGAAAACTAATAAATATGGTTCGTTCACCTTGATCCGTGCATCAGTTCTTGGCACCTGGGGCACAGAAAACCCTCAACTGCAACCTGGAAGATTATATGCAGTAATAGGCAGACGATGGAGCATGATTTACTGCAGGTTCAAACAAATGGGCCGAGTTTAGCAGTAAAAGACAGACTGAGATAACATGAACATTGAAAACTTACTGAATTATTTTTCTGAATATCTTTGAGTCATAGTGACAATTAAAAATGCCTTTTGGATAAAAGTTTTCCATCAGTGTGTTTTCACAGCCCTTATGCACAACTGTAGGTGACACAGACACACACACACACACACATACACACATTGGAGTACCTGCAGACATGTCTCATTTGTGAAAAACAGTACACGTGTGTGCAGACAGTCTCATCACAGACCTCGTTTGTAGACGTACTGTAAGGCCATAAAAAGTATGGCGTGTGTGTAACCACACTGCTGTACTGCACACACACACACACACACACACACACACACACCTCCACCCTAACACGCAATATTTGTCTTTGTATGATCAGTCTGTAGAGTAAACACTGAACATTCTTCTTCCCCTCCGACAGCTGCTTTTAAAGCTGCCCCCCACACCCCCTGACTTACCCACTGACTCAGTCAGTGTTGAGGTAAAACAACAACAACAACAACAACAACACAGTAAGACTGTTAAATGCTGCGACACATGTTTTTGTCCTGGGAGAACAGTTGTTTCTGCAGAATGAACAAAACAGGTTGAACCACATGTCAGGATCACAGGGGCCTGGTGTTTGAGTGACAAACCTGCTGACTCACATCACCATGACAAGCACCTCACCTGCACATTTGCATGTGTTTGCTGGAGCTGTGTATTTACTCAGTAATATTGTGAAACAGTGTGTTTCCTGTCTGAGGGGAAACCTTTGAACCCTCAGTGTTTTGGACTGTGGAGGAGGAACTGTGTTTTAGGTTGTTGTAGAATGATCATTACTACAGGGTTAGTACTACATGGCTGTTGAACACATGCAAACTTGGTAGCTCGGCTTCATTAGCACTAAGCTACATTCAGGTTCGTTCATTTTTTGTGTGGTTCCATTTTGACCTTCTCTCCTCGTCCATTCGTAGGTGAGAAATTGTTGGTGTCAAACATTTAGATAAATAATCTGTTACCATCGCTGGTGCTGTCTCTATCAATGTGTAGATCACCATGGTAACCAGTCTGCGTCTTCTTGAACACTGACGTCATCTTCCCAAAGAGCTACAGGAAGTCGGGGCTAATGGAAAAGTATTGTGATGAGTTCCTCCTCCTCAGACTTTGTTGTTTTGCTACGTACATCGAACTGAGCCATTGTTACTGGTCCAATCAAACAGGTCACTGCAGCTCTAACTGCTGTTTGACATAAAACTTGTTGTGTTTGATTTACAAAATATTTTTTCCACTCTACTTGGAATTCCCACTTTGTGTGAAAAGTTCATTGTATATGCAAAAAACCACATCTGGACTCAGGTCGGCTGGACGAGCGCCACCACTCAGGCACGACCGATCTGGAATGTGCAGAGTCGACCGCACCCTTTCTCCTCTTCATCCACTGGACTCAGGCCTCCTGGGTGTGTGTGTGTGTGTGTGTGTCTCAGATTTCCAGGCTCATTTGTCTTGGTGCCACTCATGTTCCCACCCTGTGGCTCCTCCTCCTCTCCCTCATCTCTACTTTATCGTACATCAGCGACACACTTGTCCTCATCGCTGTGAAGGTGGTCGTGTGAACGTGATCACAGTCACAGGGCTCTAGAGTTTCACAGATGTGGCTCACACACCCGAGTCGTGACCGTGGTGTGTGTGTGTGTGTGTGTGAAGTCGGTGTGTGCAGGAATTTGAAAACATACTGAGCCTGACTTCTGGTCCCAGTTAATCCTGTGGTCAGCTGCCGCGTTTGGTCAAGAGTGACGGGTCAAAGGTCGGGTTACCTGCTGCACTTTTCTCTTTGTCTGTCTCTCACGCCAGTCAGACAAACACACTCACACGTGGGCCAAATGCATTCTGCTGGAATAACAAACGGTGGAGGAGATAATGGACGTGTGGCCTCAGTAATGAGAGGCTTGACTTTTCACCACAGTGAAGTGACAGGAGTTGACTGCATGGCTTCATTTATTGTTCCAGATTTGAAAAGACCTGCCTGTGTGTGCACGTGTGTGTGTGTGTGTGTGTGTGTAGGGGGCTGTGGGTGGGTTGTGTGTGTTTGTGACCATGCAAGAGTGAAGGCCAAAATTAAGCCTTGAATGTTTGGCGTAGTTGATATCCCTCCCTCTAAATGTGTGTGTGAAGATTGATATCTTCACACACACATTTAGAGACACACACACATTCACCGACTGTTTGCACTGACTGACTGTTTTGTTGTTGATTGTCTGTAAACAGGAAGACAGACTGGTTTTCTGCTCCATTTACTCTCTAATTGAACTCTGCACAGATAAAGGGACTCGAATGTTCATACTCAGAGACAAATCAGTGTGTTGCCTCCCTCTTGTGGACAGAAATGGTAATTATCAATACTTAACCTTATATGAAATGCTTTTAAAAATAGTTGTTTACTTGTTTAAAATTATTTTTAAAACTATTTGTTACACTGTGATTTTGACATTTTCTTGAATATTTAATAAGCATATACCAACTTTAGAAAAACAATTGGATCCTGATGGTATGGTGGCATTATGTCAAGTAAAAAATAAGGCCATGACTGACTTTTTCCTATTGTCACTTGTTTTCTCCAAGACACTGACCTATGAAACCTCCAACATGACAAATGAAGGCCCTTGGAGGTATTTTCCTCTGCCACCAGAGGGCTGTTAGTGAGCACTAGTGCAGCCCTGTCCCTCCTCACCCTCTGGAGGTTTGAGGTCTCTTGTCAGCCACTACCTGACAGAGGGGAAATTTTATACTGCATGACTCACTTTGTCCTCGTCCTATGTGTCCATTGTCTCACTCACTATTGTGTTGTTCTGTTGTGTTACACTACCTGGGCTGCAGTTAGAGAGTGTGATCTCTTCGTTCTAACAGAACAGTTAGAGAGTGTGATCTCTTCGTTCTGTATCAGTCACTGCATTAAGAAGTGAACAGTCAGCCAACAGTGATTCTCTAGAAATCAGCCTCATACATGTTAAAGACGCACTGCTAATATTTGTGCTTCACATCCTCCACAGGAGTTAGTCACAGAAAACGTATGGTCCGTTTGGAATGGAAAAAGATCTTTAAGAGGAGAAAACTAGACATAAAGACTGAGGCAGACAGATGGCAGTGGTGGCTAAAGCTTGGAAGTTCAGTTAGAGGTCAGGGATCAGGGTTATCAGGCTCCACAGGTCAAAGGTCAGTCAGGAGTTGATGCCATTAAACGACATCATCAGTAGGGAACATCAGGATACAATAATCTAAGTAGTCAATGGTATACACATACAGTTTAATTCTCAGAAGATTACTCTGTCCCACTGGTTTCCAAAGTAGGGGGCGGGAACTCCGAGCTGGCGTGGAGCTATTCAATGTCATCATTTTCTTTGCTGTTTTTCGCATTTAAAATATTTGAAAAAGAATGACACCAACGAAGGGGGCTTGACAAATCTTTGTCAATTTTAGTCACATTTGAGCTTTGAGCTTTTATAGTTGTTTAGATTGACTTTTAGCTACATCTCTGTTTATAGCTGTTTGTTTTATTTCAGGACTAATTTACAGGATTAGATCCACTACATGTTGTGGTGGTTTAGCATATTTTTAAACATTTTTCTGGTAAATAAGTAAGCATACTTTCTGCATTTTATTTGCTGCTGTCTTCTTCCATCCCCTTTCATCTGCAGTTTTATAGCCAAACTCAAAGTGGACAATAATTTGCGCTTTTGAGATTTTATATGAAAACCAGAAAGACGATGCTTTCTTGTGGCGTAGGAAACAAACATGTTCTCTGGATAAAATAAAGGGTGAAAATGTCATAAATTGTACACAACCAAATGTAGTCGTTCACAGACCTTTAAAGTCACTTTTGTTCATTTTGTTTTTGGTATGACCTAAGTCTTGTTGTACAGCTCACATGTTACCAAATGGACTCCATCAGACAGGAACATGTGGCAGTAAAACCTGTTTGTTACCACGGTAGGACATCAGGATTTTCACCAATTACGTCACTAAGTTTGTACCATCAGTTACACCCACAAACACTTATGAGTCAGGTTCTTCTGTGGTGTAAAGGACTAAAGCTGTCGTACTGGTAGAGGCACCGTAGTGTTCACCTTGATGCTGAGACACTCTCTCTGCAAAAGTAAAACAGACTTGTTCACGTGGCTGCTGAGGTGAGTGCCAGCGCCGTCTTTTTGTGGAAACAAAACAATATGTTCACCCCATCTTTGACCCTTATCGACAGCTTTTGGTCTGTTTTGGCTGCAGGAGCTGCAGGAACAGACGCAAACACACAAACACACACCGACAAACGCCAACTGCCATAAGTGTCTGAGTAAATGTGGGGTGTTGTGTGAGTAATAAAAGCCTTCCTCTGCGCTGGAGTCGAACCCCTGTGTTTAACTGGCTGTGTGCACGCATCACCACTTAGACACACAGTCAAAATGGACCGGCTTGGATTTGGGATTTGGCAGCCGCACTCAGCCAGGGTTTTTTTTTTCTGCCAAAGGCTTCAGACTGGTGCCACGTGTTTGGTTCAGGTGAACTTGTTCAGTTGATTTGTTCACCTCACGTTACGTGTCTGGGCTCCACGTATCGATATCAGACGCTGCCGGCCTCTGATGTGCAGTTGGGTTACCTGACAACAGGGTCAGCGAGGTTGAATGTCACCGTCTTCTTTTTGGGTCACGCAAACATTTACTGAACGTGATTGTGTTTTTGTGATGTTTATCTATCAGTTTACTGTAATCATTATGTCGGTAGAGTTTCATGTACAGTTGTGTTTGTTGAAAATATCACACCTTTACTCTGTAAATGTGTGCTTTGGGACTTCATTGTTTATAGTGCTGGTGTCTGATGAAGGACGGGGTAAATCCTGTTATTTTTCACACATCCTCTAATCTTCTCTAAGTGCTGTCATTTATCTTTAATTAACAGGTAATTTCAGTGCAGACCTTCATCGCCTCCTCTTATTTTCCCTTTGCCTTCTGTCTCCGTTCTTGTCATCACGTTGTCTCTGTTCAAACACCTCTACGCAGCAGACGACTGTTGTGTAAATCACTGACCTTTTTATGCCTAGACTATTGTCAGGTGATAAAATGGTGATTCAGAGATTCTGATGTTTCCCATTTTCAGATTGTTGAAAAGAACTAGGGCTTATTGCGGTAATGATTCTTTATCCTTCTCCTCTAAAACTCCTCTAAAAGTTAATATTTTCAGAACTGTACTTAGTGGCTAACACTGGTATTATAGTCCCCCCCCAAAAATAATTTTGAATAATTTAAAAATTAAGGCTGGCTTTGTATTTCGGTATATTGTTTTTTATCTATTTTCGACTGATTTCCTCTGAGTAAAAGCGGTCGAGCTAAAGCCGTTAAATGTCTGCCTCACTCCTGTAGATATCCTGTCCAATATATTGACTGCTGTCACTCTGGTCCATTCTCTCAGTGCAGCTTAAAGTAAATGGAAGTGTAGAATTGGGAGGTGGGGTGAGGTGGGGGTTGAACTAATACACTGTCTCCTTATGATGACCTTTGACTTATTTAATTCCCTGTGGGGTTTATGGCTCTAAAGCAGTTTTTCTTCAGGAAATCAATAGTCTGAACCTGCTCTTACTGACCACTTTGGGCCTTTTATATAATTTACTCTTCATGTCAGTTTGACTTTTGGTCTGTTGATCTTAAACCTTATTTTATTTGTCAGACATCTTGGCCTTTAGGATATAAATCTGTCATTTTTTCTCCCTCTGCTCCATTTTAGACACGTGGATAAACTCAGCGATGCCCAGTTGATATCTGTGTGTAAACAAATGTATGAAAAACATTAATATCTTCCTGTCGGTTCATTTGATTTAATGATAGTGTGTGCCTTCCAGATTTGCTCACGTTCGTGCAGCTAAGGTTGAGTCATGAAGAGCTGGGGGCTGCCTCTTGGTGTAAACAACAAATGCTGAGAAGGTGGATTTTCTTCTGTTAAGGGAAAAAGAAAATGAGGTCGGGGACCTGACACAGCCGTGGGGGTTTTTACAGTAGGTCTAGGTTTACACCCAACCCAACAACGAATCTGGGATCAGTTTACACTGGTGTGAAGAATCCACAAAAGGTGAGAAAAGACCAGGACGTGAAATATCAAATCAGCAGATTAAACTGAACATGATTCCTTTATCTGCCCCCAGGCTTCATTGGAACAGTGTGAGGGGAAGCCATAAAATGTTAGGTATTGATCGCCGGTAGAAAACCTGCCGTAACATGTGTTTCACAGCACACACATGCACACACGCAGCAGGGTGGGAAAACTCCACCTTCATAAAAGAGTTGTAAAACCTAATACAAAGTTTGTGCTTGGAATGTGTCGCTATTTAAACCCGTGTTTCCTATAAGGCTTGTCCACAGATTACACACTGGTCATAAAGGTTTACAAAATTATAATAAAAACCCCTCAGTGCTGCTCGTTCCTCCTCAGCTGATCTGTTGTTGCATGTTGTGTGTGTTCTGAATGGAGGCCTGTTGGGTGGGTGTTGTCATCGCCCCACGGTTGTATGTTTATCATTGTCTGGAAACTTTCTTGTTGAACCAGTTGCTTCAGCTACGTGGGCTGAATGTCAGCCACTGAGTGTGTAGTAAACTTATATTTAAACACACGGCCCCCTGCCTCAGACCAGTCACTTAAACTCCATGCTTTTCAAGGACCACAAATAACTGCCTAACTGTTCAGGCTCCACAGATCTCTGCATATTCTTGACAAAAAATGTGTCACTAGGACTGTATGCTGTAATAATCCTGTTTATGTCTTAATGATGTTTAAGTTAAACATCATCCATATATCATTTTATTCAGGAACCTACAATTAAAAAAATTCAAACTATAACCAGATTCTCAGAATTAACATTGTATGGTTTTGTTCTCTAACATTGACCACAGGATCTTTAAGAAGAAGGTTTGGAGAGGTACAAGTTAGTACCTGCATTTTAGAGGTGAAAATATTCCTAATCTTGAGTGACTATACTAATAATGGAACTTTACCTCGGAGTTTCCCGGTCTATAGCCACGAGTGCTGGAGACGATTATTCATTGATTTACCATTCCTCAGTATCTGCAGCTAATGTTTGTGATGTTTCTCAGATAAACAGGAGTGTATGAGTGCAGTCAGTGAAACAGGAGCCTGCCTTTGTGTCAGAAATCAAAAGCACCTGGCGGACGGGAGATGACACTGATAATAAGGAAACCAAGCGGAAGGCCAATCGGGAAAACAAGGTGTGAGGGAGGAAAAAAGAGGAGTCAGAGGGAAAGAAAGACGAGAGGTTGCCATGTCGTCAAACACAGGGGAAAGGCAGGAACGGAGATCAGTGATCACAGAAAACAGAGGAGGAAGGAGGGAGGGAGGGACGAAAGCAGGCTGACTCGTATTTCAGCACCGTGGCTACGAGTGCTGGGTGTAACCTTAATGCTACGTTCACAACACTGTCTGTCAACTCCTGCAGTCACGCTCCTGAGGACTGAGTAAGAGCGGGAGCTCAGGGAATCCTCACCAGCGTGGAGTTTGTTTTTGTTTCGCCGCATGTGCCGTCAGCAGGTGTGAGCTGCTCTTTCTGGTTCCTACTTTATTATCTTTGCTGTTCAGGTAGTTGATTGCAGAGGAGACGACCCACACATGGACCTTTTCTTTCTACCATATCAACTTACACAGAAACAAGGCTGAGAAAATACCCTGGAATTCCAGGCACTCTTCGGACCTCTGAGAGGAACGCTGGCTGGACGTTGTGGTGTGAAGACCTCACATGTGAGTTTGATTATGAGGGTGTGAATCAGGACCCCGTCACACTGAGACCTTTTCACCACCGCTGCTGCTGCTGCTGCTGCTGCTGCTCTGCCGGCTGAACTGCACGTCGACTGGAGACAACAACACTCAGCTCATGGTAAACAGGGTCCACTGACCGACTATGATTGAAGAGGTTCTAATTGTAATTTGGAAACCTCTCTCCAGCCTGTCATGCACCACCAAGAAATATTACAGCCAACCGTTAGCGTGCACTTCCAAGAGTGTGTGTGAGAGTGTGTGCAGCAGTGGGAGTGGTGATTTTCAAGATTGCCTAATTGCCCCTTTGGGTTTGGGAATCACGCCCGGAGCCTTTAAGCACAAAGGAGAGGAGCAGGAGAGGAAGCAGATGATTTAGTCTTGTGTTTTGGTTCGTGAGAGCAATAAATTGGAGGAGAGAGAAAACTTGAGACTGCCTTTCTCAAAGTCACGATGTGTGTGGATGCACACCGGGAGAAAACAATGGCCAGACTGCCTTTTGGAACCAATTTAAAGTAGAAAAGCCTTTTTGCATGCATGCAGACCTGAATGATGTTTGGAATCTCCTAGTTTGGATTTTTACCATTCCAACCAGGACCTGTATCTGAGGATTATCTTGAAGTTAAGACTTTGATCCTCACACCTTGGACCTGCTCCTGCCTGTGTGAAGATGAGAGGAGACCGTAGGTCTGCGTCCTTTCGAAGGGACAAACCGGCTGGACTGTCCCGTGCTCTCAGCTGGCTCAGCGTGTCCACCCTGTCCCGCCAGAGCAGGCGCATTTTCCACAGTCAGAGTGAACTCCACGCTGTTCACAACGGCCACACGTACTCACACTCGCACACCCAGCTCCATGCTGCAGGGGGGGCTGACGACGATGACGACTGGGTGTACCACCCTCAGCATAAAATAGGTGAGAGTGAAGGGGAGATCAGTCAAGGCTGTTCTGTCTTTTGAAATGAAACAAGTCAATACAAACACAAAATTCAAACCCAGTACCCTCAGCCTGCTGATACTGGGTCTCATCAGTGTAAAGGAAATACCTGTATCCCCACAGAGTACTTGGAACTTACTGGTTAAACGACTCCCGGTTGTTCTCACCTTGACCTCACCCTTATTTAAATATTGTCCCAGGACAAAATAAAAAGTTTTACTTTTGTATCTCGCTATCTGGGTGAAACTTTTAATTGGGCTTTTTGTTCAGTTTAAATGTATTTTCATGCTTACACTTGAGTAGATTTCTGGTCAACTCTCTCCTGGAAACCCACTGACTGACTTTTTCCCAACACACTGGCAAAGACAAGTGTGTGCCGCTGGTATTTCTTTTTCTTTTATGACCTGTTGTTCTCCATATCTGTTCCTGGTTGCTGTAGGAAGTGAGTGGGAGGTGTTTACCCCGTCTGTTGATTTTCTTTTTTAAAGGGTCAAGGGGCACTGTGTGTACAATAGAAACACAATGATGCATCGGGCCTGGAGTTGTTGATGTCATGGGTACAGTGATGTCACCGGCTGGTGGCGATGTGAGCGTGAGGTGGGTGGAAGAGAGAGGCCGCATTTGTGTTTGTGAAGACTTGTCATTGTCACCGAGTCACAGCTCAACATTTAACATTTCTGTGGATTTCTTCAGTGACATTTTGGCTTTTTTTTTTTACCAGCCCGTGATCCTTCTTAGCACTCGGTAAGAACAAGACTGAATCCCTCTCTTCTGGCTGGTGTAATGTTTCCAGGCTTGACTCATTAGATATTAATCAGTTAATTAGTGGTATGTGTGTGTGTGTTCATAGGAGTGTGTGTGTTCTGTCAGCAGTGTCAATGAGGACGATGACAGTGGTTGTAACTGTAGCCTCGAGTTTTTTCTAAGAATGGAAAAAGGCAGACACAGATACCTCGAATAATACTGCAGTAGTACTATGTATCACCTGAGCTCAGCTGCATCAGGAGGGTAGAAACCTTTTCCTCATCCTTGTCTTAAATCCAACTAGTTTTACTCAGTGCCATTTTCAACTCACACTAATCGTCACCAATCGTGGTTTCTGTCGTAACAACTTTTTATTCCAAACACGTGTGAGCTGCCATCTTGTAACGTGGAGCTCGTCGCTGAGACGGTGGTCGTTCCAGGCACGTCTCAATCCTCGCGGGCCACACCGTCACCTCTGAGGCGACCTCTTCCTAAAACAGCTCAGGGCTGCACATGGCTCGAATGGTTGGAGGCCTTGACATTTTTTTCATAGTCAGAGCAGAGAAGCTCTGTCCAGTCTTTATACAGTACAAACTCACCAGATTACACAGGTGACAGAGAGTGTGTCTGTGTGTGTTCATGCCAGCAACGCTTTATTTCAAAGGACTATCTTTAACCTGCAATTAAAATCCAATCAAGTACTCCTTTTATACTGAGGATGTGGTATTTGTTGTGTTTTGTTCACATGTTAAAGGTTGAATTTAGCAACATCTTGTGATGATGACGTGATTATATGCCTTGCCTCGCTGACGTCTTGTTCTACTTTAGTCTTTACTGATTATTTAATAATTCAAATAGTGTGTGCTCTTTTGTTGTCCTAGTGGAATCTGGAGGTGTTTATTAGTCTTTTCTGTGTAAAATCACAAATCAATCTTGCCTGAATTATGTGGTATTGATCCGGTGGTTTTTGCTATTGGGAAAATGCTTAGATTCTGTGGAGAAATCACATTAGCTGATGGGGAAATTGATTTAAACGTGTGTCCATGGTTGGTTTTATTTTGGAGTAGTCCTCTCTCTCTGTGTGTGTGTGCCTTTCACTGTCTTTTTCTCTTTCAGTCATAAGCCAAGACTGATTCTATTTATAGCTAATTCTAGACCATAGACAGTGTCACAGACAGGTCAGTATAAAACAGGGTAGTTTTTCTGTAATGCAGTGTGAGGCTGAATAGCATATTGTCAATAATCATTTGGTTTCAGTTTTGACATAAATAATTTCAAGAATTGACCTCTCTCTCTTTTTTCCCCCTAAACGTATCTGAAGTACTGTTCTGTCCAGAGAAAACCCAGAGGTAACTTTTAATAACAATCCCATCTCCAGATGAAGCTGACAGTTTATAACAGCTGGATCAGTCTTCCGTGCTCCTGCCAGGGCCCATTAAGAGATCCATGGGCAGCCGTGCACCATGTCTGTGTGCAAATATAGCCCTAAAATGACTGCCTGCGGCTCCACAACCTGCAATTTTCACGCAGACTCCAGCTTGACTGGCTGGATGTTTGCCCTGGTTACCAAGGTAACCTGTGTGCAAGGGACTGTACTTCCTGGTGTGATGCGGTTTGACCTCACCAGTGGCACAGTTGTGATCCAGTCATGTTCAAGAGAGAACTTCAGTAGTCATGTGGTACACAGAGTACTCTCTACTGATGAACTTAGATACTTTAGTAAACAACAACAGAAGTAAACAGTATAATCATACAAAATTTAAAACACCTTGCTGTGGCAAAACACGATCTAAGGATTACTGAGGTGTACAGCCCCACCGACCAGCAGGTGTTCAGCACTGCAGTGAACGACTTGGTGTTTCGTGCGTTGTCTATTTCTTTTGTTGTAGACATCCTTTTATGTCACAAACCAGAGTGTTACCACAGCACTGTAGAGCAACATGTTTTATGTTTTTAAACGCTCCAAAAAAGGACCCAAAAAATCCTTCAACAATTTTACTGAGAACTATAATTAATGGTGTCTTAAAGGCCACCATCATTCCTTCAGTATATATTGATTTCTTGAGGGAAGTTGCCACGTAAAAAATAATATTTTGTCTGACTAGTCCTGTTCAAAACTTAAAGTAATGTCAGTATTTAGCTACAGAAACATGATGGCGAGTTATTTTTAGATGTAATTTTCTTTTTAATTCATTCACTGTCAAAAGAGTTTGTCAACATACTTGGTTACTCTTCCCACACATCTAAAGAGGTTCTTGCGTGGTTTGAAATCATCTATTCATACAAACCGGAACTGGTGCTGCACCAGAAAGACGGCTCATAAAGAGAGCAATAACGTGTTCTCAGTGTTTTCTCTGTTGCTTCAAAAGATCTTTTCAGACCTGGATCTCCTCCATTCAGAGGCTCTGTTTACTTTTGTTGCAGCTGTGTGGAGCTGATTCATTTCCTTAAGGGTTCAGACAATAGTGTGCCACAAACGGAACACAGGTTTAAAAAATGCCAGTGTAATCTTGCCAGAGAAGCAGCAGTTGTTGCTGGACTTGTCTCACCTGCGTCAGATTTCTGTGGGCTGTGAATAGAGTTTTGTCAAACTAACAGTCAACATGTTTAGTTCCAATAACATTTATGCAGCTGGTTTTAAACATGTTAGTAGTTACTCAATAAGATTTATTATAAACAGTAAAATACGTAGAAATGCACTTCAAACAAACTGCAGAATAACACAGCAGTAATCATTGAGTTTTTATACGCAGTGAAACTGCAGATTAGCGTCAGTATATCAGGCGTAATCCTTAATAACACATAATAATGTGAACCTAATTTGAGATTATAAAAGAGCACGACACTTACAGAATCTTTGATGACATCATATGGACAGAAATGGTCTCGTCTGTCCTTTTACATCATGTCTTTTCAATACAGTTTGTATCATTGCTGTGATAACAAGGCCACAGAGGGATTATTGCCATCACAGTTTGCTCATCCCTGAACATCCTGCCACAACAGGCCTGGTTCCTATCTGTGTTTGTGATTCAGTTTTTATCTTTCACTGACGCAGAGCTCTGATCAGACAGTAACAATGTGCCCTGTGTTTCCACACTGCATGTGATTAAAGGTGTACGGGACGCCACTTTACTGAGTCACAGTTAAGACGTTGTCTTTGTGTCTCCTGGGTTTCTCGTATGATTTAGCCCTTATTGTAGTGTTATTTCTGTAGATAAAGACAGTATTTCTTGGAGAATGACAACAGCGATTGACAGCGTCGACGCCAGGGACCGCCGGTTAGGTCAAACAATGCTGACAATACACAGACAATAGTTACAATAAAAAACAACTGGGCGTGTTGAATAATAGGTCTGTAATGCCATAATTAACTGGTTCATTATGCTAATTAATTTTAATAATTGTATTTATCATCAAATTCTAATTTTTAACACATTTTTGGCCTGAAACAGTTCCCTGTTATTGCTTTTCTGCTGCTTTTCTTGAATAATCACAATTAATCATAATTGTGATAAATTAAAATTTTGATCATTCGATGCTCCTAGTAATTAACCGAGAGAGAATATTTGTAGCCCCTCCCTGGCCACAAATCACATTTCAAACCCCTCTGCTGCGTGGTTTCTTCAACCGCCGTAGAAACCCTGACCTCTAGTTCAGGAAACAGTGAATTTACAGTCCTTCACATTTTGAAAATGTTTCAAATCCCACATATTGACTTGTGAAAATTAATCTTTTAAAAACAGAGAGCCCAGAGTTTTTCTCATACGGTAATTATGTTACATTAAACCCTCGCTTTGTTTTACCATCTCAGCCTCAGCTCTGAGAGCCGTAATTAGACAAACCCCAAGTATTATTAACTCAGAGCCAAGGATTTTTACGATGTAGGTGAGAGTAAGAGCCGTTTTGGGGCCAAACAACGCCCAATTAAGGTGAAGACTCAGTGAAGTTGGTTTTATTGTCTCGGTTAAATAAGTATACTTTGGGATTTTTGGTGTGTTTTAAACACAGTTTAATCTGCAGGGTTGTGTGTTTGTGGTAGTCCTCATTTCATCCACCCTCATTTCCAGCGGGGGCGTCACGTCACTCACACCATCCCACAAACACACACCGATCAGCTCATAATTGGTGACATATGGTGGAGGCAGACATGTGGTAGCCTGCAGGGCTGTAGTGGAGCAGATTAACATGTCCACACAGACACGTACTGTACTGTATACACACACACACGCGCGCGCTTGATTCAGTCGGTCTGCAGAAGCTGTTCTGCCCAGGAATAACACAAACCGTGAGGCGACTTTGACATGTGTACATTTGAATGGTACTTTTTTAACTCGTCACAGCTGATTTATTAATTATCATTATTTTCTTTCTTTTGTAATTATATTATTAACATATTCTACACTACATGTTTTTTGTTTCTACTTCCTGTTTTGAACTTTAAGGTTTTTAACCTGACAGGAACTGTATGATCTATGGAAGCTGGTTAGACACTTTCCTTTCATGTTTTGTTCAACTTTACCATCTAAAATACACAGACAACAACATCCTCCTGCACCCTCTGAAATCATGTGACTTCATACTTTCAGGAATTCTTCAGTTTGTGCATATTTTTTCTGAAATTATTTAGTTTTTTATAGACATAAAGAAAACCAGTTCAGTTCAGTTTCTGTCTCCTTCTGCTAACACTGATGAGGTGTAAAGATGAGTGTGGGGGGGTTAACTTGGTGGAGAGTCATTGGGATGCAGAGAGAGAGAGAGAGGGGAAGCAGATTGTATGGGTTGGGGGAGTCGGTGGAGCAGTTTCCTGCGGTGTAGGAGTGGGCTTTCAGCCACTCGCAGCCTGTGCACGGGAGTGTGGATCTGTGCGCCGAGGGAGACAGTGTGAGGCAGTGAGAGGGCGAGTGAGGCAACCGGAGAGAGGGGAGTCTGTGTCGGGATGTGTGCGTCCATGTGTGAAGGCTTTGACTGAACAGCCTCGGAGCAGAGAGGAAGTAAGGAGCAACAAAGAGTTTGGAACAAAGTACCTGAGCTTGATTCTCCTGGATCAAATGGGAGAATTAGGGGAGAGGAATGTCCTGCCTGAACGGTAAGTGTGTGTGTGATGTGTGTGAGAACTGACGTAGGGACTTTAACTCTGAGACAAAGAAAAACTTCCTCCATCTCTGTGCTCGGTGTTAGAAGTCTCCTGTCACTGCAGCCTCCTCTCCTCTGTGTCCGTGGTCATGTGGTTCTCTTTAGTGGAGAAACCCAACTTTTTTTTCATCTTTAATCATTTCTTCTTTTGTTCTTCCTCCCATTTGTGACTCATTTAGGTTCGTTGACATCAACCGTAACGCTACGTTCTCTGTTATTCTCTGCTTTTTTGTTGCTTTTCTTCCAGTTCCTCCGTGGTCCAGTGTTCACACTTTCAAATTAAGTCTACATGGGAAACTGGAGATGTTCTCTGTCAAACCTTGGTGTTTTTTTAAGAGGAGGTGGAGTGATGTGTTGTCTTGGTGTGTGTGTGTGTGTCCGCTGTCCACAGTAACAGCTGGCAGAGCAGCAGTTGCTGAGCTGCTGTCCTGCAGAGTAAAACCCATGTGTTGGTCATTACTGGACAGATCAGTTCAAATATGATACAAAGAAAAAAGAAAGTCCTGCAGCTGCAGTTTGTATGTCTCCTGGTCTTTGGTCAGTGCAGTGCTAGGCAATAAATTCTTTGTTTTAGACGCCCATCAGTAAACATTGACATCACTTCACCAGCAAATTTCAAAGCCATTAAAAGATGACAAATCTTAAGACTGTTAGAGGTTGAAGAAAACATTTGTGAAGTCAGAGAAACCAGAACCACCACATCACAACAGCACGGCTGCAGTGGTTATTTTTGTGGACCAGTTGGAAAAAAATGCAGCAAATCTAGTTTATTGATTACAAATGTAAAGCACCATCAGCCCTTCACTAGGTTCAATGGACACAGTTGTAGTGTCCTAGTATTGTACGATACTGTGTGGGCGTTGTTGTTGAATGATATGTAGTAGTACTACACGCAGTAAGAGAGAGGAATGAAATTAAAAAACAGGCGCTCGGCTCTGGCTTGCTCCACATTTCTCTTATCTGTGAGATTATTTTTTTCTTATTGTGAAACCGAAGCGTTTTCTCGTTCATGACTTCAAGTGATGAGGTAATTCAAATTAAACAGTGCAACAGTTTAGGGCTAAGTTCCAGTTTGTCAGCTGTATGCAGTAATTCAGGCTGACAGCAGCTCTGGTCGGACGGGGAGAGTTTCAGGGAAACAGATGTTGAGATTGAGTTTTGTTCAAACTAAATGATTTACCATTTTTTAAAGAAGATTGCCAGTTTAACATGTTGTGCTTGAATTTCTGTGCCTTCCAGTCGTCTCTGTGGTAGTATTTAAACATCTTTTTCTACTTTAAACTCAGACAGATGTATGATGAAGATGTCATACGCCCGGGTTTACCTCAGGGCCATCCTGTGCAGCAGCAGCAGTCCTCTCAGTTGGAGACTGATGACACACTTTAAGTCCACGCTCCTTCCAGGTCAACTCCAGACCAAATCAAATCCAGAGTGGATTCGTGGCTGTACTGCCTCCACCAAGGTTTCCAGGTCAGAACAAACCTGCGTGAGTTTTCCGCACTCGAGCCCCCGTGGGCTTAGGAGGGAAACGAGTCGAGGAGCAGTTGGAAATGTTTTGAGAAACATTATTCATACTAAAACGGGACGTGTCCAACATTTTTATCCATGTCAAACACAGATATTCCTCGTGTAGTTGGGACTCGTTTGGTTTTTTATTGTCAGGTCGGTTTAGGACAGCTGGGATTACGTCCAGTCTGTAAAAACATGTGTTGTGTTGAGTGGACAAAGATCCCACTCTGATTGCAGTTCTTTTGGGTGTGTGAGCATTGTAGTGGCTTTGGAAACTTTGTCGGCAGCTGTTGTTGGTGGGGGAAAGTACAGATGTGTGTGCTTGGTCAAATGATCCTGAGTAAAATAATACTTCCAGAATCTTCCAGAATAGAAAAGCCAGTTTTGATTCCATCATTAAAGTTGACCACGATCTTTGTCAACAGCTTTTAGCTGTTTGTAAAAGTCAAAATACTGTGGCTCCCTCAACCAGAGACGGCAACTTTTCTGCCACCTGTGCTTCCAGAACACTCTGTAACTAATCCTGTGCAGATGTGCTGGCACGTGAGGAGGCGTTAAACAGATGCATGTTTCTGAACTGGATTTATTGGAAGGCTTTATTTGAATCTGGACACGTGTTCTAAGAATGTTCGTGTGAGTGTGTAGGTGAGTTCATGAGTGAGTTCCACAAACTCTTGGGAAGAGTGCGGGAGCCTGGAGTGTTTTCTTCCCTGGAGCAGCAGCATTACAGGGGCAGTGACCCATGTACCCTCATGTCCAGACTTATATTTAGCCTAAAAATCTGTCAAGGCATTTCACATGGTATCCTTCTCATATTTTGGCTACATGAGCGCTGTGTGGACAACACTGGAGGACCTTTTGGTAATATTATATATTTTTTTATCACCATCTTAAAGAATTGTTGTAACAAAATGTCATTAATTACATTCATTGTTTTGTCAGATGGGATTGAACTTGTCAGACTGAGCTCCTTATTTCAGACCTGCCTTATTAACCCATTTAAACTTGTAAAGAGGACAGTCCCTGAATAGCCGTTGCACCTGTGATGATGGTCTAGTGTAGCCGTGACCTTCTGACCTGAGGCTGACCCGTTACCTGCCCTCTGGCCTGTGGGTAGCAGTGTTGATGGATGTTCTCACACTCAAGGTGGCAGGCAGTGTTGTCTGCAGAGGACAGAGACAAATGTGGACATGAAGCAGAGTTTTTTTAATCCTGTTTATAAAACTGCAGAAATAAAATAAATGTAAATTGTTTTTTGTGTGTTTGGAAAAATAGATGCTCCAAACATTTAATATAGAAGACAGATCTGGACTGCAGACAGGCCAGACTAGTAACTACACACACCACACTGTTTAAATTTGTAACATTTGCCTGAGTTAAATCTGCAAACTTGTGTGTTGGCATGGGGCCTGAAGAGAGAAGCCTCGATGAGACGCTGTCTTCTTGTAAACAACTCAATCTCTTCCAAATGACAGGAAGATTTCTGGTCTTGGTAGACAAAAGTTGGTGACGTTCTGGGAGCTCTTGAATGGACCCAGCCAGGACACCAGGGAAACCCACCACTCACAAGAAGAATTAAGAAAGCTATTTTTTTTTCTTCACTATGTTTGTCAAAAGGTGAGAGTTAAAGAAGTTGGAAAAAGTTTAGTCGTCAGAGGAGTTTGTGGAAACAATGGCCGACTCCCTGTGGATGAGTGGATGGCTCCCCCTCACAGGGGACCAACTCAGCATGCAGGTTAACTCTCTCACTCCATTCAAACCTATGCATATCTATGGTTACCATTGTTCTCCTCCGCTCCAGCCTTTTTTATAGGAGCACAAAGGCTTAAAATGTAGACATAAACATTTAACTTCTACATACAGTTGTTCATCACCACAGCTGATGTATGGTTTTCCTACTTGGTCAGCAGCGTTAATATGTTGTTTACAGACCAACATGATGTCACATGAGAATTACTGCTTGGTAATAAGGTTCTTGTTAGGGTTTATATAAGAGAGAAAATCAATTTAGAGCCTCTAAAAAACAAGCAAGTCTTTCTTTCTGCATGCACCTGCAGTTTTTTTGTTATGTAATCAGATTGTAGATTGGCTGATTCAACTCTCTGACCTGACATGTGATAAATAACCACATTACAAATTAAATCCACCAGTCCATCAACTCAGGCGCAGATGACTGCAGTGTGCTGTACGAATGAGTCCTCCAACGCTTTGGTATTATGTAAGTAGTATATATTTATGTAGTAGATTGAATTGGTTTTGATTGATAGCAGGTTTTCCTCCCGCAACCCTGAAAATCTTTTAGCAGAAAACTTCATCAACATACTCTACCTTCCTGTCAAGTGTGCACTGATGCCTACCTGGCAGAGTAATCTCATCACATTCACTAATCTGGGTGTGAGTCTTTGTGCTGCTCTTCTCTTTTCATCTGCTCCCTTCAGTGCTTACATCTGCCTATGTTTTTGACTGTCAGACATTCCTTTCTGTTCTGTCTGTGCAAAACGCTGCTGTTCTCTGCAAATTAAACTGCAGTTGGGTGAACAACGCAGTGAATTGTGCACGTTGCCGTCCTCAAAGCGTTATGAATCACGTTTTAATTTGGATCTACGGCAATCAAGTCCTGTACAAACCCCAGCAGCTGGGGTGATATGTTCTGTCCTACATTTGTATTTGTACTTTTTTATGCTTGAGTTTGAATCCTTCTGTTCCATCAGCTGACATGAGAGGTGCCAGGTCTCGTTGTAATTCAGCACAGTTGAACTCCAGGGATAAAGCAGGTATTTACTCACAGACTGGTGTCCATCTGTGGTACGTGTGCGTCTCTGGCACTCAGAGAGTCCAGGTGGATGGATAATCTGGGTTTGCAGATTAGAAGGGCAGATTTAAGGAGTGGGGAAAATATGGAGGAGGAGTAGCTGAGGGCACAGGCAATGTGGACACCAGTAATCGATGTCACTGCTCTGACTGTGGATGAAAAAAGATGATCTCTGAGGCTGCACTTTTTCACCTCTGATTCATATAATAGGTTTTCATTATTTCTGTGTATGGACTCACTCTGAACACAGGAGGGCCTCTGGACTCCTTTGGATTCTGGTTTGTGCAATTTGCGGTGGATGCTTATGGGTCATTGCAAGGAACAAAAACATTGCCCCAACCACAGGTATTTCCAATAAGACACTACCCTTTTGTTTTGAACTGTTATTTTTGCATCTTTGGAGTATTCTTGAAATTTCTTGCGGTCGTTCTCAGGGTCTTGTTTTCACAAGCTGCCAGGATGGTATGGCTCCTGCAGAATAACAGTTCTTTGGAAGATTTGTTGGAGTGTTAAATGTTGTAAGCTGACACTGTGCACTGCTTTCCTTTGTCAGGCAAATTATTGCAAGTCAATAGTGTCCACTGAGGGTGGGAGAGGAAGGACAAAAACAGTAGGAGGAGATTAAGGAGGAG